GAGATACCAAACAGCTCAGACCACTTTCACCCACTCCATAGGAGGCTGTCACGGAACCAGGGATTCTGGATCTGGGTCTGGCCCAGGACAGGCAGCACCCCCAGCATTTCAGCCAACACAGGGACAATTCCAAGAGCTCCTGGAGGTGACAAAGCTGCTCCCACCCCACAGGGCCCTCCCTCAGTGTTGTACCAGTCCCTGCATTTCAAGCACCCCATAAATCAGGGAAATGGGAAATCATCAAGTGCAACCATTCCCAGCACTGCCAAGGCCACCACAAATCCATGTCCCCAGTGTCACATCCACGTGGATTTTCAATCCCTCCAGGAACGAGGACTCCACCACTGCCCTGAGCACTCTTTCCATGGTGGAATTTTCCCAGATATCCAACCTAAACCTCCCCTGGCACAACTTGAGGCCGTTTCCTCTTGTCCTGGGGCTCCCTGGGATCTCCCCTTCCCTGTGCACATCCAGCTCTGTGGAGAAGGGGGATAATGTTCCTGAATTACGCAGGAGCTGCTGCTTTATTCCATGTTTTCCACCACAAGATAAAAATGGAGCTGCTGCACAAGCCACATCCCAACTTCCAAAGCTAAATGGGATATTTCTGTGGTGCTTCAACACCAAATTCCTTTGAAAGCTTCCTTTAGCTTTGATTCATTTCTTTTGTTTTCCCTATGGATGATCCTGACACAGCATCCCAATTTTGGGTGGATCTCCTCCCTCTCTCCTGGAGAAGCCCCAGGATATGGCTCTTAAGAGACTGAAACTTCCATTCCTGGAGTCAGGAGTGACTAAACACGCAGAGACACAACCAAACTGGGAATTCTGTGCCATTTCTCTCCCTCTGCCCTTTCACCAGAATTATCCCAAAATCCCAGCGAATTTTGGGGAGGGCCTTGAACTTTTTCTGCTTCAAAAAGAGGGGGGGGGAAAAAGCTCTGAAATCCCAAAATACACACACAAACCCCCACGACAATCACAGCTGGACCAGGCTCAGCAGGGCTGGAAGTCAAGACTAAAGAGCAGGTCCTTCCTAAGCCTCACTCAGGCAGCTCTGCTTTGTCACCAGGGAAAAGCAGGTGATTCCCAGAAGGAAAACAGTGCCCCTCATTTCCAGGAACCCTCGCCCTGATCAGCCCCACACTCCAGGGCCCTGCTGGGATTTCGGGTCCTGGTTCAACAGCAACACAAAGTTCCCCTTGAGCCACCAAAACCTCAAGAGGAGCTCCTGAAAAACCTCTGGGAAAGGTATAACTGGGAACAAACTTCCAGCAAAAGAGCCACAGCAGTTCCCAGTGCCCAGGAGCAAACGCCACCCTCAGGTCCCAGCACCACCTTGGGCTGATTTCCAAAAAACACCTTTATTAGAAATACTTCTGTTCATTAGCACAACTTAATTAAAATACCCCCCCAAAAAAATCCCTTTTTAAGGATCTTTTCTCCATTTTGGCAACTTGCTGAGTGTCTCTGTCTGTGCTCCCAGGACAGTTCTGGCCCCTTCACCTCCACGTGTGTCCACAGGTGGCTCCAGGGAATGCCACGGATACAAATTCCACCTCCCGGACTAAAAGCTGGGTGGAAGTTGCTACTGGCCCCAGACTTCACTACCAGTTTGCTCCCACCCCTACAGAGCTGTGGGATGACATTCCTGCCTCCAGGAACCCCCATTCCATTCCAGCCTTACCCGAGCTGCCTTTTCCACACCTCCAGCTGCTTTTCCCTGCGGATTCCTAAAACCACAAAGGGGCTGCACTGCTCAGGCTATTCCCAAAACCTGGATAATCCTTTATTCGGTGGGAGGAGACCCCCAGGCTATTTCCAGGGCCTGTTCTGGAGGCTGGTCCTGCTGAGCGTGCGGGAGCTGAGCGATCCCGCGCTGGAGCCGTGCAGGCTGGGGTTGCTCCTCACGGATGCGGGTTTGGAATCCCGGCTGGAAATCCCACGGCTCAGGCGGCCTGGGGGGAAGAACAACCCACAGTCACACACTGGCTGGCCCGGGACGAAGCTGTGGACACCCCATCCTGGAATGTTCAAGGGCAGGAGGGACGGCTGGAGAAACCTGGGCCGGTCTGGGGTCGGAGCCGGGTGATCCTTCAGGTCCCTTCCCACCCAGCCCATTCCAGGATCTTACTGGCAGTGTCCAAAGGAATGTGCTCCTCGGCCAGGTAGAACTTGAGCTTCTGCAGATCCTCAGCAGAGAACCTCCACTTGTTCTCGGCGCGGGCAGGGGGTGCTCGGGGGGAGGTTTTCCTGCGGGCCGATCCCGGGGCTGGGAGCTGGCACGACAGGGGCAGCGTGCCCGTCACCAGCCCCTCGGGGATCTTCTGGGCAACCACCTTCAGGCCTGCAGGGACACAGAGCCACCTCAGCACAGCTGGGACAGACAGACACCTCAGCACAGTTGGGACACACAGACAGCACAGCTGGGACACACAGACAGCTCAGCACAGCTGGGACACACAGACACCTCAGCACAGCTGGGACACACAGACACCTCAGCACAGCTGGGACACACAGACACCTCAGCACAGCTGGGCTGGGACACACCAGGCACCAGGGAAACGCTGCATGGAGCAGGAGATGCAACAAGGAAAGTGGGCAGGAGGAGAGGGGGAATTCTGTCCCTCTGGGGAACAGCACAAGGACGTGGAGCTGCTGGAGAGAGTCCAGAGGAGACCCCAGAGCTGCTCCCAGGGCTGGATCCCTCTGCTCTGGAGCCAGGCTGGGACAGCTGGGGGGGTTCCCTCTCCCCAGGGAGACCTTGGAGCCCCTTGCAGGGCCTAAAGGGGCTCCAGGAGAGCTGGAGAGGGACTGGGGACAAGGGATGGAGGGACAGGACACAGGGAATGGCTTCCCAGTGCCAGAGGGCAGGGACAGATGGGATATTGGGAAGGAATTCTTCCTTGTGATGGGGTGGACTGGATTTCCCAGAGCATCTGTGGCTGCCTCTTGGATCCCTGAAGTGTCCAAGGCCAGGTTGGACCTGGCTGATCCTTCAGTTCCCTTCCCACCCAAACCACTCTGGGATTCCACAATCCATCTTCTTCCAACCTCCAGCTCGCACAACCCTCCGCTCTGTTTCCCCAGGAGGTCTCAAGGAGCTCCTCCCATCCCCGGGAGCTCTCAGGGGGCTCTTCCCAGGCCCAGGGGATGTGTGGGATGTGTGGGGTCCCAGCCCAGCCCACTGACCCCCGGAGAGCATGAAGAGGTTCTCGAAGCCCCTCTCACACATGGTGGTGGCCGCCTGGCTCGCCAGGCGCTCGTCGTCGTCGTACACGATGATGATCTTCCCGTGGGCATTTTTCTGGGGGGGTGGGGTGGCTAAGGAGGCACTGCTGGGCTGGAGGGGGGGCAGCAAACACATCTGGGGGCCACAACAGGGGGATTTGGGACTGAGGGACTCCCCAGCTCACAGACATTGTTCATTGCTCCTGCCTGGGGAACCATGGGGGAGGAATTCAGCCTCTTCCTGCTGAATTCCCAGGGGCTGAGGCTTGGCACACACTGGAAGGAGAATCCCCACGGGATGCAGCCTTTGGAGGCTGGCTGGTATCAGGGATCAGCAAGAAGCACCTTTGTTTACAACCCACAACCTCCCCCAGCCAACAACTGGGAATGATCAGCCTAATCCAGCCTCCTAATCCTCTTTCTCTGCCCTCAATCCCCATCAAGGTGCTGACAGGAAGCCAAAGGATTTGAGGGATCTATCCCTGCAGCAACAGGAGAGCGGTGCCCATGGAGGGCTCTGCCTTCCAGCGGCCCAAATCCCAAGAAATGCCAAATCCAGCTCCCTCTGGAGCCAGGAGGAACCTGGAAAAAATCAAATCCAGCAGTGGAGCTGCCCCAGGTGATGCCAGGAGCTCCTGTCCCACCTTCCTCGGGATTCCCAGTTTTGCTTGGCTGAGATCCAGCTGGTTTTGGGAGCCCCCCCCCCCCCTTTCTTTCCCTGTGCCAGCACTTTCATGGAAAGGATACATATTCCAGAATACTGTTTGTGTATGGATTCATGGTCCTGGACAGCGTGGCAATAGGGTAGGAATAAGCTGCAGGAGAGGGGAAAAAAAAACAAAAATAGAGGGATAAATCATCCAGTGGCTGCACACCAACAGCTGAGTTACAACAGGGATCTACTGGGGTTCAACAACCTTGGAAACCCCGAGAATAGAGGGATTAAGACCAGCTCAGTCCCTCCAGGGGGGATTGGGTGAGTGATGAGGGCACCCCGAGGTGTCCCAGCTGGGGCACAGAGGGAGGCAGAGCTGGGTACCCCAGCCCAGCTGGCAGTGGAGCTGTGTCCCCTCACCTCCCACGATGTGGCACTGCTCGTAGGCGTCCCGATCCCGCACGTCCAGCAGCAGGAAGGGACAGTCTGGATAGGGCAGGTCCTTGGCCTGGGTGTCCTCCTTCTTGGGAGAGTCCTTCTCGATGTCCATCTCCCCCACTCCGCTGATCACGCTGGGAAAGGGAAGGGCAGGCTGAGGGGGGAGCTGGGGGATCTCATTCCCAGCACTCTGGGCCTCTCCAGCAGCTCCCAGTGCTTGGGGAGAGCTGGGACAAAGCATCTTCCTGGACCCCTGGGCGTGGCAGGGACAGGGGGGTCGGGATTTGGGCTCATTCTCAAGGATTCCAGGATGGTTTGGGCTGGAAAGGAACTGAAGGATCAGCCAGTTCCAACCCCAGGGATACCTCCCACTCTCCCAGGCTGCTCCAGCCTGGCCTTGGACACTCCAGGGATCCAGGGGCAGCCACAGCTTCTCTGGGAAATCCAGTCCAGCCCCTCCCCACCCTCCCAGCCAGCAATTCCTTCCCAATCTCCCATCTAACCCTCTGGCAGCAGGAAAGCATCCCCCCCTGTCCTGCCATTCCATATCCTCTTAAGAAGATGCTCATAAACCAAGATCCCTGGGAAGGCAGGGAGGGCTCAGCCGAGCAGAGCTCTGTGCTCTAATCCCACACACCCCCCTGGATGGAATCCCACCAACACATTTCCTCACCAGCCATTTAAACCATGCCCAGGTGGCACCAGAGCTGGATTCCACCCTCAGTCCAGCAGGAAAACCTGGCAGACCCTTCTCCCCTCACCCCAAAGCCAGGTTTTAATAAGAAATAAAGGGTGAAGCCATTTCAACAGCTGGGTAAAGGGCTCAAAGATAAGGACAGTGTGTCAAGGAGGCACCTCTGGAGCGTGGAACGCTGCGACTCCCCAGGGGCTGTGCTGTTCAGGAACAGGACTGGGTTGGGGGGCTCCTCAGGGCTGCCCTTGCCGTTGGTCCCTGGTGCCACCTGGGCATCCTCACCGGCGGCAGCGGCATCTGTGGGCACAGCGGGGACGGCACTTAAGGAGCTGCAGGGACAGCAAGCGGCTCCTGAGCTCAGCTCCTAATCCTGCACTCTGGGGGCACAGCCTGGGCCTCATCCTCTTCTGGGCATCCTTCCCACCCTCTAAACAAAGGGCCAACCAAAGAGCCTCGGGTATTCACAGCAAGGAAGAGCAAAAACCATAAAGAGCCCAGATCATCAATAAAGAGCCCAGATCATCAATAAAGAACCCACATGGCATATAAAGGACCCAAGTAATCAATAAAGAAAGGGCCCAAATAATCAATAAAGGGCCATAATAATAATGGGCCATAATAATAATGGTTCAAATAATAATAACTAAAATATTTATAATAAAGAGCCCAAATAGTAATAATAGGCTCAAATAACCATACCTATAACATTAATAACAAAGAGCCCAAATAATATTAATCTTAAATGGCCCAGGTAGTAGTAGTAGTAATAATAATAATAATAAATGGTCCATGTAATAATAGTATTAATGATATTGAGGATATTGATGATGATGATGATGATAATAATAATGGGTCCAAATAACCAATAAAGGGCCAATAATAATAATAAAGGGCCCAAATAAACAATAAAGGGACAATAATAATAATAAAGGGCCCAAATAACCAATAAAGGGCCAGCCTAAACAATAAAGAGCGAGCCCCAAAAATCTACAGGAAGAGCCCAAATCCCCAGGAAGGCTCCTGAGGGCTGCAGACCCCAATAAAACACAACTCTTGCCGTGCACGCCTCAGGGATTTCTCCCAGCAGAGCAGCCAGACCAGGCCTCTCCCCTCCCAAACGCCCCCAGGGGTGTCAGCAGAGTTTATGTGCCAAGGAGCAGGGCTGAGGGGGAGGTTTCTCTCCCTGCCCTGCTCCCTGGGTCCCCCCCAGCCCGTGTGAGGACAATCAGTGCCACTGTCACCCTGCAGCCTGTGCAGCTCCTCGCTGGTCACGGCCAGGCTGTCGTCGCAGAGGGAGGCCACCTGCAGCACCTGCAGGACAAGCACAGGGACACCCTGAGCCCCCCCAGCCCAAAGGGCACCCCAAGGCAGCAGCAAACACCAGCCCCGAGCCCAGGGCTGGGATCAACCCCCCCCAGGAGTTATTAAAGCTCCAGCTCTGAGACCTTCAGAGCTCAACCTTCCCTTTCCCTCTCCCCCTGGTGTGTTTTTTTTTTTAATAATTTTCTTGGTTTTTCTTGAATTTATTCATTCTCTTCATTTACTGATCAATCTTGGTTTACTACCTTGAGTTACAATAAGCCTGGAAGTCCCAACCTGCCCACCTGTTGCCAGGGAGGGCCCCAGGGCTGGGCCCACAGGACACAAAGCTCAGGTTTAAGTGCTTTTTGACCCACCTTTTTTCTTTTTTTTTAAGAGGTCTGAGGATCCTTTCACATTAAAGGACGAATAAAAGCAGCAATGACCTCAAAGAGGGAGTCGCCACAAACCTAAATTTTTAACTAAAACCACTCAGGAAATTCAGGATTTGCTTTTAATTAAGGGAAATTTATAAGGGCAGCACGAAGCCAAGCCGGGGGAATTTCATCCTAAGGCTACAAAACCACTGAGAAAGTTTTATTCCAAGGAAAAACGCTGTCTCCTAAGAGATTTTGGGAGGCCAGAGAGGGATCTGGTACCTACCAGCTGGGCAAAAGTTGTCACCTTCAGCCTCTTAAACAGCTCATCCTTTTTATACCTGTAATCTTCCAAAACACAAAAACACAAGAGGTAAATAAATCCCAGCTTTTCTCTGGGATTAAGATTCCTCTTCTCCAAGCAGGATTTTCAGGGCACTGAGTTTCTGTCGAAGGGCTGGAAACCTGGAGGTTTGGGGGAATTCAGGTTATAAAGGGAGGGTTTAACCAATGCCAGTTATAAAGGGAGGGTTTAATCAATGCCAGTGATAAAGGGAGGGTTTAATCAATGCCAGTTTTAAAGAAGGGGTTTAATCAATGCCAGTTTTAAAGAAGGGGTTTAACCAATGCCAGTTTTAAAGAGGGGTTTAATCAATGCCAGTTACAAAGAGAGATCCTTTCCAGAATGATTAAAGTGGAGGAGGCAGTTTTAGTTGCTTTGGGGCTCAAAGATGAATCCCTTTTGGAATCAGCTCAAGATTCGGATTTTTCCCCCATCCCACTGGTTTTGGAGCCCACTGGGGTCACAAAGCCCCTGAGCTCCAAAGCTTCATTTCCCTGAGTTATTAATTAGTGGGAATTACAGCAGGGCCATTCCAAGCTCTAAGCTAAAGGTGGAGGTTTGATCTTAACCATGAAAACATCCCAGGTTTTCGTGGTTTATCTGACAATTCAACTCCAGTTCCTGGGATTTGCTGCCGGGGGATCCCTGCAGGGGTGGATAACTGACACAAGAAAGGGGACTAATTGGATCTTAAGGGATAACTGACACAAGAAACGGGGCTAATTGGATCTTAATCCTGGAGGCAAAGCTTAAGGAGCAAGAAAACAGAGAGGCAGAGATTCCCAGAGCCAAGGGAAGGATGGAAGTTTGATCCCAGCTGGATCCTGGAGGTGCAGAAACAGCAGGAAGGGAGAAACCTGCTGGGAGTGACAATTATCAGCAGGAAGATCCTGAGGTGAAGGAGCCTCTCCTGGGGAGAGAGCGAGGGCAGCTTTGTCCTTTGGGAATGGGAGATCCTGGTCCCTCTCCAGCTGTTCCCAGAGGGATAACAATAGGGATTTTTAGCAAATCCACTCAGTTAAGCAAGTGTAAATCCCCTAAAACCATCTGCCGAGTGCCCCATTAGCCTGGGGGACAGGAGGAGGAGGGAGGGCTCCCAACCACATTCCTGCACAGAATTCCCTCAGGAATAGCTTGTGGAAGCCAGGGAAGGAACCCTGGAGGTTCAGATCTCTCTTCCCAGTGCACTCAGAATTCCCAAATTCCACATCCCACCCCCTACAATTTTGATTAGGCTGAAAAACAACTCTTCTTGCTCCTCACAACTTGTCCTGGGAAAAGGGAGCCCACCCAAACTACCCCTGGAATGTGCCCTGAGCATCCCAGCCAGGACAGGAGGTGAATAAACTGGATTTGGGGATGCCAATTAACGGGAAACGCCCCTCGTGCTCCCTGCAAAACCACCTGTGGTCAAGCCTGGAGTTGGGCTTGTTAAATCCTCCTTGAACTCCTCCAAAACAATCAGCACTAATTATCTGTTAATTATCTCCTCTTCCTGCCCCACACAAACCCCCTCCCCGCTCAGAACCCCCCAAAAAGAGCCCTTCAGTCCCAGGGAATAAATTTATCTGAAAGGATAAAACAAAGTGCTGGGTGTATAAACACACCCTGTTGTAAAGACACAGCTCCTGGATGGTTTCTTCCCCCTTTAATTAAAGATTATTTCTCCCAGAAAAAAAAAAACCTTTTCCCCCCCCCAAAAGCCCATCCCCTTGCAAAAGCAGCCCCACGTACCCGGCTGTGTCCCGGCAGCTCCACTGGAGTTTTCAGCCATGTCTGGGGGTGGTTTGGTTCTGAACCCTGCGGTTGCAGGGCAGGAGGCAGAGCCGTGTGCGGCTGCAGCCCGGCCGGGAGGAGCGGAGGGGGCGGCTGCAGCCCGGCCGGGATAACTCCCGGGGGTGTCGATGGCAGCTTTAACTCCTCTCGGGTTACATAAGAGACAGAGCGGAGCCTGTGCCCGTGCCCAGCCCAGCCCAGCCCAGAGGGTGTCGATTTTCCCTGGGAAAGCAGGAGGGGCTCTGTCCCACCTGCCAACAAAGGGCTTTGTTCAAACCTTCCCCCTCAGCAACCACCCGGGAACAAACGGGGCACAAAAACCCCGCGTGGGACACAGCGGCGGGGGGAACGCTCCGGGGTGGGATCCATCGGCACCGATGGGAAGGGGTGGGAAAAGCCCTGCAGGGGGAAAAGCCAAGGGAGCTGCTCTGGGGGGGGTTCAGTGGGAAATCACACCTGGAAATCAATCAAATTGCCAGGCAATCCCAACGCCCATCCCAGTGAATGCATGGGATTTGCAGTTAATGTGCCTTTCTGGCACCTGTGAAAGCTAGTTATGAATAAAAATACCCTGGAATAATAATATCAAAATCTATTTCTAAATAAAAGTTAGTAAGTAATATTAAAATGTATTACTAAAAATTTTATGAAGATATTTATAGGGAAATTTAATTTGTAACATAAAAATATTAAAACCTATTTATAATTTTATAATGATATTAAAATTTATTTATAGGTAAAAACAATTTACTATTATAGTAAATAATATTTAAATATATTTATAATTAAAAGTAATTTCTTAGCCTGGACAACCCAAAATGTTTAAAATATCAGCATTTAGTGGGGGTGAACTCAGTGGAAACACAGAAATTATCTGGGTGGTTTTTTCCTGCCCTGGGGAATTCTGAGAACAAATTTCACTTCCACGAAGGGCAAGAAGCTCAAGTTGGGCTCTAAAAGGGAAAGGAAATCCAGAATTGCAGGCTGGGCCTTCCCAGGGGAGAATCTCCTGGGATTGCCCCCTGGAATGCCCCATTTCACCCTCTCCCCTCCCCCCAGTACTCACTTCTCTTCATCTCCTCCACCTTCTCCAGGTATTTGGACAAACTGTTTCCTACAAAAACAACACCAAAGTCAGTCGATCCCAATTACTGATTTCTTGGAGGGTTTTTTCTCCAGGCCTGTTCAAGGCTCAGTTTGAATTTTCTGGAAGGAAAGAGCTGTTTGTTGGGGATTTTCTTTCCCCACCACAACACAAGGCATGAAAATCCCACCTTCTCCCTCTTTTCCAAACTGAAAAATCCAAGGATCTGCTGCCTCCACCCCAGCATTTTTGGGAGGAAAACAGAAGCAGGAGCTGGATCAAATTCAGCTGCTTGAACACCAAAAAAAGACCCCCCAGATAATTATTTTGGCCTAGACCCTGGGGAAGATGCAAGGAAAAATCCATGTGGAGGAATTCCAAGGGCAGTAAATTCCATGGGAACCATCACAACAGAGCCTGGCCCAGTTTAAACCTATTTCAACCCCTCTTTTAAATGATTTCAACCGCAAGTTTTCCTTTGAAAAAGGAAGAACAGAGAAAATAAACAGGTTTGGACTCCAAACACACCCCATTTAATCTCCGTTTTGCAGGAGATGCAAAGTGGTTTGGGATTATATATATCAAAAAAATATAAATAAATATTAATAACTCTGCAGGTTTGGGGTTGGTTTTAACTTCAGCTTCACAAGAAAAGTGCGAAAGAGGTCAATTTTGGGGAGCTTCAGACCTCTGGATCACAATCCCAGTGAGACTTCCAGAGGTGTTTGGGGTAAACCAGTTCAGGACAGAGACATTACTAATGAAGGAATTATTAATTAAGAAATTCTACAATTTATAGATAAAGAGATGAAGTAATAGAAACCAGTATAGAAATATAAAATGAGGAATTATTTATAAATATATTAAATATAATGTATGTTGTATTTATAAGTGTACAGATTTTTATATCTAGTGCACAAACATGTAACATAATACACATAAACCATATTAATATGTAAAAATACAACTTTTACATCCTCCCACACCCTCATTTGGGTTTTCCCCCCCCAGATTTTCTCTCACCAGTGTCCAAGCGGGTCTTGATGTGTTGGTATTTGGGGTTCTGGGGGATGCGCCGGCTCAAGTACTGGGGAAAAGGGGGGGGAACAGAAAGAAAGTCAACGGCTTAAAAATATTTTAAAACATTTTTTAAAGAATATTTAAATATTTTTAAGAGGAAAAAAAAAAAAAAACAACCAACGGAAAATGTGATTTTTGAAAGGCAGGAGAAAGAGGAACGAGGCAAGAAAACCCCTGAACCCCCACCCGGGGATTAAATTCCCACTTCAAACCTTAAAGGGCGAATTTTTCCCCGTCTATGGCCACTAAAAGGCGAATTTCTCCCCTTTTCTCTCCATAAAAACAGAATTTCTCCCATGTTTTGCCACTAAAAGGCGAATTTCTCTCCTTTTCTCTCCAAAACAGCAAAATTTCTCTCGTTTTTTCACCGCTAAGAGGCGAATTTCCCCTTTTTCCTGGTCACTAAAAGGCAAATTTCTCCCACTCTTTGGCCGGTAAAAGGCAAATATTTCCCGGGTTTGGCCGCTAAAAAGCAAGTTTCTCCTGTTTCTCGGCCGCCAAAATACAAATTTCTACCAGGTTTTGGCCGCTAAAATGCAAATTTTTCCCGGTTTTTGCTCCTAAAAGGCAAACTCCTCCCGTTTTTAGCCGGGGAGCGCGCTCCGTTTCCCTCCCCGCGCGGTTCCCCCCGGCTCCGCGGGCCGCCCGTGCGTGCTCCCCCCGCAGCCGCCGGTCCCGTCCCCGCCGTGCTCCCCCCGCAGCCGCCGGTCCGGTGCCCGCCGTGCTCCCCCCGCAGCCGCGGGTCCCGTCCCCGCCGTGCTCCCTCCCACCTGTGTCCCTCCGCGGGCTGTCCTGGCCGCCATGGCGCTGCCGCCGCCTCCCTCACAGCGTTCGCTCGCTCGCGCCGCGCGCACCTCGCAGCAAGGCCGGCTCTGATTGGCCGCCCGCTGCGCCCTCGTCCAATCGGGAGCCGCGCCGGGCGAGGCGCGCGCGTTGCCGGGCAACGGCAGGGACGCGGCGGGCGGGGCCGGGCGGGGTGGGCGGGGCCGCGCGTGCGCTCTTCTCCCGCCGGCGGCCACGCCCTTCCGTCGAGGCCACGCCCCCCAGCCGGGCGAGCGCGCGCGCGGCGGCACCACCGGCGGCAGGTGAGGGGCGCGCGCGGCGGCCCCGCCCACTGAGCCCCCCCCTCTGAGGAGAGGGGGCGGGGCCTGAGGGGCGCGCGGGGGGCGCGGAGGGGCGGGGGGGAAAGGGGGCGGAGCGCGGAGCGGTGTGGGCGGGGCTTGTACGGGTGTGGTGAGGGGCGTGGCAAGGGGCGTGGCTTGCCCCCCCCCCGGTGTCTATGGGCCCCCAGTGACCCTCCTGCCCCGGGGGGTGATGGACCCCCCTCAAACCCCCTAGTGACCCCATGACCCCCTCAGTGACCCCATGACCCCCTCGGACCCCCACGGGGTCCCATGACCCCCCTCAGACCCCCCCAGTGATCCCATGACTCCCTCAGACTCCCCCATAGGTCCATGTTCCCCCTTCATCCCCTAATGACCCCATGACCCCCTCAGACCCCTATGGGGTCATGACCCCCCTTCTCAGACCCCAAATGGGTCCATGTCTCCCCTCAGACCCCATATAGGACCACAGCCATCCCTCAGCCCCCAAATAGGATCCACATCCCCCTCAGCCCCCAAAAGAGACCCACATCCCCTCAGTCCCCAGACCTTTGCTGGACCTGCCACCCTAGGGATGGGCAGGTTATGGGGCCGGGGGAGTTTTGGGGTCCTGCAGGTGGGTTATGGGGCCATGGGAATTTTGGGGCTCAGAAGGATGTGGGGTTTTTTGGGAACTCAGAGGTGGGTTTTGGGGACACAGGGGTGGGTTATGGGGATGTGGCAGTTTTGGGGCCGTGGGAGTTTTGGGGCCCCCGGGCTGGACTGTGGGCCCTGGGGGAGCATTCCCGTGTGCCGGCTGTTCCCGCAGGATGAAGGAGTGGTGGGTGCAGGTGGGGCTGCTGGGGGTGCCCCTGCTGGCCGTGTACCTGCACATCCCCCCCCCCCAGCCCTCGCCCCCCCTGCGCTCCTGGAGAGCCTCCGGAACCTTCTTCACCTACAAGGAGCAGAACATCTTCTACAGAGGTGAGGGGGGAGCGGGGCTGGGGGCCCTGGCCGTGTTCCCGAGGGAAAATCCATCCCAAAAGGGAAGGGATCAAAGAGGAACCACTGCCTGGAGCCAGCAGGGCTGGAGCTCAGCACTGAGTTCCCAAATGGGACCCATGTTCCCCCTCAGACCCCAAATGGACCCATGTTCCCCCTCAGACCCCAAATGGACCCATGTTCCCCCTCAGACCCCAAATGGGACCCATGTTCCCCCTCAGACCCCAAATGGGACCCATGTCCTCCTCAGACCCCAAATGGGACCCATGTCCTCCTCAGACCCCAAATGGGACCCATGTCCTCCTCAGACCCCAAATGGGACCCATGTTCCCCCTCAGACCCCAAATGGACCCATGTTCCCCCTCAGACCCCAAACGGGACCAATGTTACCCTCAGACCCCAAATAGTTCCCCCATCCCCCCTCAGACCCCAAAAGCAGGACAACCCCAAACCCTGGGGAAGGTGTGTTCCTGTACCTTGGGGGTGCTGGGAAGGATCCCAAGAGCCTCCTTTGGATCCCAGCACGGAGAAGATCCTGGGAGCCCCTTTTCCCTGGAGCAGCAGGGGCAGCCCCAAACAATTGGGGATGAATGAATGAATCCCTGGATTCCCCCGCGTGCCCCGGTGTCCCACTGGGAAGTTGTGGTGGGAATCCACCCCACCCCTGGGTTTTGGGGAGCAAGGGCAGAGGCTCCTCTGTGCCCTGGAGGGGACCCAAACCCCAAGCCCGTCCCGAAAGGGGGGAATTCCGTGGGTAAGGGTAATCCCAAGGTGTCCCATTCCCTGCCAGACTCCGGCGGCGCCGTGGGCAGCTCTGACATCGTGATCCTCCTGCACGGCTTCCCCACGTCCAGCTACGACTGGAGCAAGGTGAGGGCAGCTGCACATGCCGGGGGAGGGCTCAGCCCCGCTCCAGGGGACAATTCCCAATCCCTTCCGGAGCTCCCGCTCTCCCAACACCCCGCCCGGGATCCCAGCTCTCCTCACGTTCCCACGCTCCGGCCCGAAGCTGGAGAGGACCCACAGCTGGTTACTGGACAAGGTGGTTGTTGGTTTGGGTTTTTTTGGGATGGTCTGGCTATTTATTGGGAAATTGGGACCTTCTGCTGTTTTCCTGGAGCGGGAAGAGGCTCCCTGGGGGGTCGGGGTGGAGCAGTGCCCGGATGCTCCTTCCAGAGGGGGTTTTTTTAATGGATTTCTCCCCTTCCCAGATCTGGGAGGGGCTGACCCAGCGCTTCCACCGGGTCATCGCTCTGGATTTCCTGGGATTTGGCTTCAGTGACAAGCCCGTGAGTAGCCCCTGGGGAGGGGTTTCCTGGGTGCTTCCCAGCTCCAAAGCCTGGCGTTCTGGAGCGCAGTTTTCCCTCCCATTCACACCTGGAAAGGGGATAAGACGTGGGATAAAAGGGATCCCAACAGGGGGAGGGATGGGGGAGCTTTGTGGTGGAGCCTCACGTGGGTTTGAGGTGATCCCAAAGCACTCCTTGATCCCTTTGGGGCACGGACAGTGCGGACACCACTGGTGATCCGGGACATCCCAATGCTCAACCCAGGGTCACAAACTGTTGGAATCAGCTGATATTCTTCCATCTGGGGCTTTCTCCTGGGATTTGTGGTGATCCCAAAGCATTCCTTGATCCCTTTGGGGCACGGACAGCGCGGACGCCACCGGTGATCCAGGACATCCCAATGCTCAGTCCGGGATCTCCATCCCACCCGGGGGTCTCTCCCGGGATTTGCAGGCTCAGGCTCTCACTGGGGCCCCTCTCCCGCTTTTCCAGAGGCCCCACCGCTATTCCATCTTCGAGCAGGCCAGCGTTGTGGAGGGGCTGGCGCGGCACCTCGGCCTCCAGCACCACCGTATCAACCTGCTGGCCCACGACTACGGCGACACGGTGGCCCAGGAGCTGCTCCACAGGTCATTCCAGCCCTGGCACCCCTTGCTGTCCCCCAGGGACACCATTCCAACCCCTGATACTCCTTTGCTGTCCCCAGGGACACCATTCCAACCCCTGATACTCCTTTGCTGTCTCCCAGGGACACCATTCCAACCATTCCAACCCCTGGCACCCCTTGCTGTCCCCATGGACACCATTCCAACCCTTCCAACCCCTTGCTGTCCCCGTGGAGATGATTCCCAGCAATCAGTGGGATCCCCCTTTTCCTCGTGCCTCCCAAGGCTGGCAGCTCTCAGGGTGTGGCATTCCCGAGGGTCCCACCCGTGCAGATGCCAGCAGGGATCCAGGGCTGACCTGGCACTGTGCTGGGTGGTCACTCCTTGGCTCCTGGAGGGGTTGGGATGGGTGCCACCTTCTCCTCTGGTGTCCCCAGGTACGAACACAATAAAACTGGGAGCATCCTGATCAACAGCCTCTGCCTGTCCAATGGAGGTGAGCATCGCCTGGGAACGTGGGATCCCTGGGATGGGGATCCCTGGGATGGGGATCCCTGGGATGGGGATCCCTGGGATGGGGTGGCCTCCCCTCTCCATCTCCTGAACCCCAAGAGAGGTGCACTGAGGGTGCTGTGATCAGGACACCGATCCCCACTCCCTGTCCCACGGTCCTGTCCCCACGAGGACGGGGAGGGACTGGGAGATGAGGAGCGAAGCACCTGCGGGTTTCCAGCTCTGTTCTCTGCCTCTTCCAGGGATTTTTCCAGAAACCTACCACCCCAGGTTCATCCAGAAGGTGAGCTGCTCCCTGCTCTGGCAGGCCTGAATCCCAGAATCCCAAATAAACACCCCTTGGAGTGCTGGGGTCCCCCCAACCAGCAGACCTGGCGGGTGTCTCCGGGGTGGGGGCTGAGCTGGGCAGTTGTGGGAAGAGCAGGATTTATCCAGGTGCTCCATCTGCTGTTTTCCTTCCTCCCCAGCTGCTCAAGGACGGGGGTCTCCTGTCCCCTCTCCTCCTGCGCCTCATGAACTTCTTCTTCTTCTCCCAAGGGTGAGCTGAGCTGCTGCGGCTGCCAGCGGGACACAGCAGGGAAGGAATTGCTGGCTGGGAGGGTGGGCAGGGGCTGGAATGGCTTTCCCAGAGAAGCTGTGGCTGCTCCTGGATCCCTGGGAGTGTCCAAGGCCGGGTTGGAGCAGCTGGGACAGTGGGAGGTGTCCCTGCCTGTGGAAATGGATGATCCATAAGGTCTTTTCCAAGCCAAGGCATTCCATGACTATGAATTAGCTCAGCAGGGGTTTGGCAGGTGAGGGGATTCCCTGGAGAGATTTGCCTCTGGATTTGAACCTTGACCTTCCAGGCCTTTCCCTCTCCAGGCTGAGCTAATAATAAACCACCACACAGCTCTTCCCTGCTTCCTTCTCTCCCGCCAGGACTGGAATTCCACATTCCAGGGGCAACAAACCCCCACCCAGGCCCTGCCTTTGGTGCACAACCACCTTTAGAGATTTTTCCCAGCGTTGAAAACCCTCTTTTTCCACCCCCCCACAAAAACTCCCTCTCCAAACTCCCTTTTTCCCCAGGCTTGGAGCAGTTTTCGGGCCCCACACGCAACCCTCGCAGGCGGAATTCTGGGACATGTGGACGGCAGTGCGGAATAACGACGGGAATCTCGTCATGGACAGGTGGGTCACCCGGAATCCCTGCAGGAGATCATTTGGAAACCTGCTCCGAGATTCCCAGAGCTCATCCAGGCTCTCCAGAGCCTCCAGCTGCCTCTGGTGGGAATCTGGGATCATCTTCATCCCAGAAAGGAGCTGGGGTGTGATGTAGGAGCGGGAATTCTCACTGGAACGATGCAGGGCAGGTAAATAAAGTTTGGAATTGGGTCTGAGCCTGCAGTGATCCCATGTGGGAACTTTTTCATCTTTGGAAGTCAAGGGCTTGGATTTGGGGGGGTTTTAAGGACTGGAGGTAAATCTGTGACAGGTGAACAGATCCCTTGGAATTGTGCCAGGAGAGATTTGCCTCTGGGAGTTTGGGAAGGACCTGTTTGCTCCAGTTTGGGAAGGACCTGTTCACTCCAGTTTGGGAAGGTCCTGTTCACTCCAGTTTGGGTGGGTCCTGTTCACTCCAGTTTGGGAAGGTCCTGTTCACTCCAGTTTGGGTGGGTCCTGTTCACTCCAGTTTGGGAAGGTCCTGTTCACTCCAGTTTGGGTGGGTCCTGTTCACTCCAGTTTGGGTGGGTCCTGTTCACTCCAGGTTGGGAAGGTCCTGTTCACTCCAGTTTGGGAAGGTCCTGTTCACTCCAGGTTGGGAGGGTCCTGTTTGATCCAGTTTGGGAAGGTCCTGTTCACTCCAGTTTGGGAGGGTCCTGTTCACTCCAGTTTGGGGTTTCAGGAGGAGGTGTTGGTTGTGAGTTCAGTGTCCCTGTTCAGCATGTCCTCCCCCTGGAAGCCTGGAGTCCCTAAACTCGGGGACGATGCTGTGGCGCTGCTGTCCCTGGGAGATCCGTGGGAGATCCGTGGGAGATCCGTGGGAGGTGCAGCTCCCCCCTCACTGTCTGTGACACCCAGAGCACAGCCCTGGCCGCGCAGCCCCGGCTGCTCTGTAAGCAGGGGTTTCTGTCAGTGTTTTGCAGTACATCAACCAGAGGAAGCAGCACAGGGACCGCTGGGTCGGGGCTCTGGTGTCCTCCTCTGTCCCACGTGAGTAGGAGCCCCTTCCTGCCCTGCTTGGGATGGGTAGGAATTGTCCCCTCCCGCTCATCCCCCTGGTGGTGAGGACGGAGCTCCAATCCCGGGGGAACATCCCAGACTTCCAGCCTAAGGCTCAGCCACACCTTGGCGAGGCCGGTTTGTCCCACGGAGCAGAGCAATGTTCCCGGAGAGGCTCATCCAGCTGCTGCTCCAGGAAGTTCCAACCAGGACACCGCAGGCTCTTGGAGCCCCTGGATCGCTCAGGGCTCCTTGGGAAGCTTCCCAAGCTCCCTGGGAGGGGGGAATTTGGCCCTTGGCTTAATTTAGGGATGTCCTTGAGTGTAACTTCCCTGTTCTTCTCCCCCCCAGTGCATCTCATCTATGGCCCCCTGGACCCTGTGAATCCACACCCGGAGTTTCTCCAGCTTTACAAGTAAGATCCCACCCCCCACCGAGCGGGAATGGGCGTCATTCCAAGGGATATTTTGGCTGCCTTTCCCTCCAATCCCATCCTCGTGGAGGCTGTTCTTAATTCCCACCTGGAACCAAGTGACCCCAAGTGGAAGCCTTGTGCAGGTTGCTTAAGCTTAAGCTCTGACTGACCTGGCTCCATCCTTCCCACAGGAAGGTGCTTCCCATGTCCACGGTGTCCGTGCTGGATGACCACATCAGCCACTATCCCCAGCTGGAGGATCCCATGGGATTCCTGAACTCGTACCTCAACTTCATCAACTCCTTCTGAGCCGCTGCTGCTGCTCCAGTTCTCGCTCCCTGCTTCCCACTCAGGCTTTGGGGGCAGGAAAACACCTCGGCTTTACCTCCCAGATCCAGCCCTGGGAACTCCCCCCCTCCCCTTGGGGCAGTTGAATCCTTTTTCACCACCGGGAAGACCCCTGGGGAGGTGTGGGAAAAGCAGAGTTCCAGGGTGCCAGCAGCTCCTGCGCCTTCTGGACCAGCCCAGCCTGGATTTAGAGGTGAATTCAGCATTAAATCAGCATTTCTTCCTTCCTTCCTCAGCCTGGCCTGGGAGAGGAACAGCAGTTCAGCAGCAGAGAGGTGCACAAGTTCCCCCAGGGTTCCCCCATCCCGGTTTTTGCTGTGGGATGTTTCCCATTCGAGCCCAGCACGGGCTGTGCTGGTGTTTGGAATGACCTGACACAAACCTGCCTCAAGAGATGAAGCTCAATCTCTTTTGCACGTGGATTCTTCCTGTGGGGAAGAGTCACGAAGCCCCTGCAAATCTGCAGGTTTTCTGTGGTTTTTTGCCAGCCTGTGCTGGAGATTTAATTTGGGAATAAGGGGGCTTTTGTGTAACAAAGAGCCATTATGGGCTGGTGGGGTTTGTTCTTTTTTCCTGCGCTGAAAAGCAGCCAGAAGCAGAACAAGAGATTTCTATTTTATTAACAAGCCATTCGTACCAATCCCACCACTTGAACCAGGGTTTATTTTCTGTTAATAAAAACCAATTTTGGACAAAAAAAAACCCTTCAAAAGCCCGACTCCCATTTCCCTCAGCCCACCTGCACACCCCTTTTCCCTCCCCTCTTTTCGAGGTAAATGAGGTGGGAATG